ACCCTGTCACCTCTGGGTGAATCGGACGTTTCAGATTCACCTGCCTGTCCCCTGACAATGGAAGGTAGCACGTCTCATGGCGCCCTGCACAAAGGAAATAGGCACTGTTGGACACCCCCTCCGCTCCTGTCTACACCTCATCTTGTCTCTGCAGAGGGCCTCATTCCTTCCTCTGAATGGTAACGTGGCCAGTTGGCTCCATTCTACACCCTGTCTGAAAGCCCAGCTGTATTTGTGCCAGGAATTTCTGTGGTCCCAGCCCAGTGTCACTGGGAGCCTGCTATAACAAGGTCCTCTGAGGTTCCACTGACTGCAGGGACAGCCTAGTCCCTCATTGTTGCTTCCTGTGCTTCGTGGTATGGCCTCCTCAGACTCCCCACACCCTAAAGAGCTGGATGAGAACCGGCAGCTCACTTCAGGTTTAGATGATGGAGCCCTGGGATGCTGGAGTGACCTTTGTGGTGGATTAAAGTCCCGTGAAGAGCCAGTGTCCCGTTCTGCTGGTATAAGAGGCTCTTTCATAAACCATCCCACCAAACACACCAAGTCGTCATGCTTTGGGCTGAGGAACAAAGAATTAGGCTTTGCACTGCCTTCTTTTCTATGGCCTCCGGGCTCCTGGGACTTCACACCGTCAGTCACCGTGTCCATCACACAGGGACACACTCGGCAGGGACAAAGTACAAAGGAAGCACAGCCCTTGGCCTGAGGTGCTGTGGGTCCTCTCTTGTTTGTCTCCCTGCGTTGATCACAATGGGCATCAGACTGATTGCACAGACTTTGGGTGCTGACCCAGGTGGCACCTGCACCGTGCCTTCCACCAGCTTGCTGACCACTGGGCCTCTCTGCCTCCTCACCTTCCTCACAAAGGGGTGGCAAACCTGGCACACCCTCCATGCTGCTTTTGCCATGATGAACAGCACCATCCCTTGCACCTACACTTGAGTGTCTGAAGCTGAATTGAATCTCATGTTCTGCCACCTTCACAGAGCTGTTAGCCCCAAGCTGTCACTTTGTTTGTGTTAAACAAAGAGACAGTTGGACCAACCAAACCTCTGTCCCCAGAGAGGCTTCCTCTGATGACAGAGCTTGCTCTGGAAGAGTGAGACAGGGGCTACCGGAACTGAGAGAGCTCCTCGGGGCTGCACAGGAAATCCAGGGCCTGCTGGTCAAAATGGGTTTGGCCAAGATGTAGGAGCCAATGTGCTAGTCAATGTTTCATATCTGTGACAAAATATTTGACATGAACCAACTTAAAGGAGAAAAGGTTTATTTTGGCTCATTGTTTCAGAGGCTTCAATCCATGGGCAACCAGGGCTCTGTTTCTTCTCTGTTTCTTTCAGGCCCGTGGTTGGTCAGAACACCATGGAGGAAGAACATGGAAAACTGCTCACCTCATGGCTGCCAGGAAGCAGAGAGGAAATGAGAGCCTGAAAGGAAGTGGCAAGGACCAGAGACAGTCCCAAGGTCACTCCTTTCAACTGGGCCCTGCCCACCTAAGTTTCCATCGCCTCTTGATAATGCCATCAAATTGTGGTCTAATCAGTGGATTAACCCACTGATGACTTTGCAGTCCTCAAAATCTGATCGCCTTCCCATAGCCCACCTCTGAACACAAGAGCCTTTGGGGACATTTTAGATGTAAAATGGTCTACTGATCTACCATGCCAAGAAGCTTGGGATCCTAACGGATATAGGTAGCCAGTGAACACTGTTCATAAAATGTAAACACTTAGTAAAAGCAAAGGACGCATAGTAAGGGGCCCCCACTTCCTCTTCTGTGAAGTGGAGCTGATATTGGTGTACATACCTGGTAGCTTTGATGGCTGCGCTTTGAGAAAATCCCACAGAGCAGAAGGGAGTTCCCACCACACACTGAATACCAAGTCCAGAAGAGCTGGTGCCACCTCGGGATGCCAGTCCTCAGGAAGCTTGTCATATTCAACCCTCCTGTCTTTGGGGAGGCATTCTTTTAGATACACTTTGCAAATAAAGAAATTGATTATAAGGGCAGGTGACACTGTCGTAATTACACACAGGTTGTTTCTCCATCATCAGAGTATGACTGAATCTGTAAAGATAAAAGGACCTGTGTCCTTCTGTCTAACTGCTTTTCATCATCTGCATAGTGATTAGTGTCTGCAAGTCACAACACTGGTTTGACCAATAAAAACATAATAAATAAAAATAAAATAGCATCGATGGTGATCTTTTAAGGCATAAAAAGGCACAAGAAATATCATTTCAATATTCTATGTTATTGAAGAGATCAAGTCAGGTAAACAAAACTGATTCAAATTGGTAACCTCTGATTTGAGACACAGGTTAGAATATTTTCTAAACTGTCTTCAAATATGTGTGTGTTCTTGTATAGATGTGTCATGAAATATGGCACATGTATACATTTTATATAAACATGAATGTGAATATTTATATATATACACATATATATATCAAAAATCGACAAAAATATCAGTGACTAACATCCAACTAATGCAGAGTGAGTGCTTAAATTTTCATTTCTATTTTTCTGTGAGGATTTGGGTAGAAAATGAAATAAAACCAACAACAAAGCTGCAAGAGTTTGAGTCTATCTTACAAATCACTTTCAAATGTTTGTTTGCAGGAATGCTACTTGTGTTCAAGCTGCAACACATTAGATATGGTTGGATCATCCCATCTGACTGGCTCTTGAGGACATTCTGGGGGCAAAGGTATCATTTTTATTTAAGAGTGAATTAAAACCAATGTTTCTGCCTTTGTCTACCTTGCTAAGATGTCAGGGAAGTGAGCCTGTGAGCTTATTTTATCCTCCGTCCTACCAGAATCCCTCTCACTGGAGAAGTGTTGAGTTAGTCGAAGGGACCTGACATTTGCATGACTCACGCCTCTCATATGTGTTCGCTTTGCATTTCTCTAAACATCCACCCCCAGCCACTTGTCAAGAATAACTTTAGCCAGTTCCAAAGACGTTGCCTGAGGGTTGAAGGTTCGCTCCTGTTTTAGAGACGAATCATCTCAAGGTTGAGCCTGTTTCAGTTAAAATCAATAGGTGAGTAAAGCCTGTTCTGCAGGCACGGTTCCCACCTGCTCCCGTGAAATGATGAGGCTCCTCTGTGTGTGTAGTGTGAGAAGTATGTTTGATCTCCAAGTGTGTCGGCTTTGACACCTACATGTCTTACTGTAGAACAAAGAAATAAGGAATCACAAATGGAGGCAATGCCATTTTCCTCGGAGAACTTGATTTAAATATTTATTCATTGAGAAATAGCTCATTTTGCTCCTTTTCTCTACATTAGGGGCTAGAATAATAAAATGCCATTAACTAAAAGCTAATTGGCAAGTATTTCTTAAGAGCATCACGGCCACCAAACTAGTATTTTCCCCCCAAGACAGAAAAACAGTGCTTATATTATTTTAATCTTGTGATGCTATCCTAACTTGGGGGGGGAGGTTAAATTATTCTGAAAGTGATGAACCATCTACATATTTATTCTTTTTAAAGACACTGTGGTGTGTTAGCATCTGTATTGCCAGAAAACAAAATTTTCTTCAAAGTTATTCTTGGGCAGGCCCGGGACTCAACCCATATGTCTCACAGTTAGCTGCAGCTCAAGGGTTTAATTTATGTGAATTGTTCCAAACTCCTAGCTACTGTTATTTTGTTCAGTGAGTTGGTGGCGCCACCTATTGGTCGGACTTCAGGAGTGCACTTTCTTTTATCAAGATAAAAGTCAAGTATTTCATTAAAATGATGCCTTTTGAGGGGCTCAAGATTTCAGACGTATGGGAGAAAACTAATGAAATATTATTTAAGTTAAATTGATTTTCTCTGTAATAATTAAAGATGCATATTATTCCACTTATTTCCATAAAATGGGTGATTAGTAAGCAAAGACCAAGTTATAATCTCACCTGCTCTAATCTTCTCTTAAAATATTTCCTTTGGCTATTCCTTCTGAGACAGCTCTCAGGGAGATCAAATCCGCGCCTGGGCAGTAAGCTCTTTTGAAAGAACAACAAGTCAGCCCAAGGGAAAAATAGTAACCTACGACAAAACAGTGAGAACCCAGCTTTGCTGTTTTCTTTCTTCACTCCGTAGAGGTAGATGAAGTGTAAAAGACTAAAAATTCCTCACTCACAGGAGAGCTTCCCAATACGTGCTTCTTGCTCAAGGAGCATCCGTCGGGAGCGCTGCAACGCTAACAGCGCCTGAGAACTTCACCGGCGCCTCCAGCCGGCTCGGCCTTGGCGTGGGACAAGAAGGAAACAACTGGAGGCTTCCTGAGACAGGAGGGTTTGGAGCTTTGTCCTTCCATGAATAGGTGGGGGAGCCGAGCCAACAGAGCTAAATATCCCGATTCACATCTTCCCCTGCGTCTTCATCTCGGTGTGCACACAGGTCTCAAGCCCTCAAAAGGCGGTCACTAAGCGTGCGCCATTTGCTGTGTATTAATAACACCTTGATAAAGCGTTTTTGGTTTTTGTTTGTTTGTTTTTTTGAGGCATGGGTGGGAGAGGGAAATTACTTTTAATATTTCTGTTAATCCATCTGCCTATACGCTGGCCTTTTTTTTTTTTTCCTTTTTTTTAATCTTTCACATAACAAAGAGCAGTTGGGTAGTATGGGTGTTGGTGAAACTCGGCAGTCAAATACCTTGTAAATTAGAAGCTGTGGTTGTAAAAATGAATCTGCGTATCACCGCGAGTGGAGAGTGCGTCTGCCTTGTAAATTTAATTAAACAGCAGGTGCAAAAATCAGGTCATATGGTTCTGATGTGCCCCGAGTGAGTGACAGGAAGACAAGGATTCTAATATGAAGAAATTTGCATACATTTGCATTGGACCGCGGAGAGCACCAGGGCTCTCACCCACTTTCATATTTTATTTCTAAGAAGCCGAAGAAGATTTGAATGAGCGGTTTCTGTCGCGACACTGCGGAACAACACGCAAGGCTGCGGCTCCAAAGTCAGGAGACCCTGTGGACCGACGTTGCTGTAAGGCGGCCACACCGGCTGGAAAACGAAGGATGCCGCCGGCTGGAGAGATGCAGAGAGGAGGCGGAGAAGGGAGAGAGAGGCCCTGCTTCTGCTTTGCAGCCCTTCACGGAAGGCACGACGCTTGCAGGACTCGAACCTGGTTGCGTTCCAGTCCCTCTCTTTGTTCCCACGTCCACTCTAGTGATTCTAAAATACAAACATGGAGAGATTTCTCAGATGTACCCGTTAGCCCTTGGCAGAAGTTGCTTTTGCTTTTTATCTTAACGTATTTTCCTTCCCTATTGAGTCGACCCTTTCTTTAATGAAAGCAAGCCAAATGTTTAGGCTAAACAACATTTTTTCACAGCTAATGATTTCTTGCTCCCGTATTAGATCCCAGGAAATAAACAACCTCCAATGCCAACCGCACTATCCACAAGGGGCTGCGGGTCGCGCCCGGCCCATTTCTCAGACAACCCCCCCCACCCGGCCTCTTCACCCACGCCCACTCTGCCCCAAGGGCCTGGGACGTGGGGCGCTAAACCTGCACGAGCCTGAGCCCCTCTCTGAGGCCCCTTCTGGCACAGCTGCAGTTGCCCCGCGCACATCACCGCTGTGTGGTCAGCTAGGGGTCCCTCCAGCCCCAGGCTCCGGATGCTACAGTGTGGTTCAGGAAAGGTGTGGCTGAGATCTTAGCAAAGATTGACTATTATTTATTGACTCCAAACCCCTCGTTATGGAAAGAAGCCATCTCATTAATTATGACACTCATTAATTATGACAGCATATAACTTAGTATGTATTCTAATTAACTTGCTCCCCGCACATGTGGCGAAATCTCAATATAGTAAGGACACAGAGAAAGGAGAACAGGGCAAGTCATGGTGGCACGTGCCTGTTATCCCAGCACTCAGGGAGGCTGAGGTGGGAGGATGGCAAACATAGCCTGGGTAGCTTAGAGACTTAGTCAGACCCTGTTTCCAGATATAAATAAATAAATAGGCTGGGGACATAGCTCAGTGTCAAGGCCCTAGGTTCAATCCCTGTTGCAATAGATAGGCAGACAGACAGATAGTGGATAGATAGCACGAAGATCTTTTTAAGCTTTAAGTGCCTTTTTTTAAATACTTAACTTGCTTATTGACTCACAAATCTTCTGCACTGGGTTAGGAATGCCACAGGGTAGGAATTACTTCATTTTGTCACCATGGCTGCTACCCTTTCATCTACTCTCTCTCATAATGCTAAGGATTGATAGACAGTCTTCACTAATGACAAAAGAAATCAGACCCACATAGATGCCTCTCCTCGGAAGCAACTGGATGCACCAGGTCCTAATAAAACAGGAAACAGTGAGCGAACCCAGTTCTGGCCCTGGGGGATGTTAAGGTCCAGTGGGACACAGGACACATGCAGGCTGCAGAAACCTGCACAGACACAAGATTCCGAGCCCTATTTCTGTTAAGGAAAGGGCAGGGCCAGGGATTTAGCTCAGCGGTTTCTGCCACCTTCCTTGCAAGCGAAAGGTCACGAGTTCAATCTCCGGTCTGAAAAAAAAAAAAAAAAAAAAGACTATTAAGGAAAGGGCAAAGGCAGCTAGGCCCATGGCACAATACATGTTCGTCAACAGTGCAGCATGGCTGGGGCTGAATATTGCCTGTGTTGCAATGTGGGGAGAGCTGTTTCCATTTCCTGTTACAAGCACAATGGGAGAGCCGGAAGGAAGGCCACCGAGTTGTACAGTCATCATGCACCCCTCAGGCATGGCCCCTTTGTGTCTAGTGGGTCTAGTGACACCTCCAGTTACCTCCCTCCTTGAGGATGACAAGGCTGACACCACCTAGGGCCGCCCCAAGCCCAGCACAGAATACATGCCTTGCACTTGCTTAGTGATACTTAGACTCAGGCTGTAACAACAGCTAAATCATGCCCTTTGAAAGGAACACAGCCCAGTAGGACCCACGATGACTTCTGTAGACTCTGGAGCAGCAAATGCACCCATGTTCTTCTGGGAGCTCCTCTCGCAGCATCTCCTCCATCATCACCCTCTCCATTTCCTGTCTGTACCACAAGCATCTCCATCGTGTCACCATGGTACTCTCGTCCTTCTGTGCCTGGGACACCTGCTGAGCTGCACCCCCACCCCAAAGCAGGGCTGGGTGCTGTCTGCCTTTGTGACCTCAGCACCTTGAGGAAACACCTACGAGATCCTTTATAAATGCTGGGTGAGCGGACCAAGAAGCTCAGTGTGAATAACTCAGCAAGCGCACGTGTCTTCAGGCTGGGTCTGACACTGTCGGGAATCCCCCACACACGTGCTCTCCAGGGCTCAGATGGATTGAACTTGACTCAGGAGACCAAACACCAGGGCCCACAAGAGGCGGGCACAGCCTGTCTGGAGAGGACCCCAGTGTGGATTTACCAGAGCAACTTCCTGTTCCCCGGCAGGGGGTGTAATTGTGCCATTGTCGCTGGATATTCACCACGTGGGCCAGGCTGAAAGGCCCTGGACCTCCCTGCAAGCCAAGGAATGATGGGCATCTGGTGCTCCTACTGCCCAGATGCAAACACCCTCTGGGTGACAGAATCTCCAGTCAGGGAGTGACTGTCCAGGGAAATGACCATCTTCACCTAAGGAAAAAGGAGAAGTATCACAAAACTTAAAAGACCTTCACCTATATTTTTTTATTTTGCTCTTTAATTTATTTAGACTTTGGATTTCTCATTTAAGAGAAACCACGCAGTATTGAAGCTTGCGTATCTGATTTGCTTCACTTAACATCATGTTCTCAAGGTGCACCCATTTTGCTACAAATGACTGCAGCGTACCCTTCTTCGTGGCAGAGTAATACTCCATTGTGTATAAATACCATATTCTCTTTATGCTTTCATCTGTTGGTGGACATATAAGTCACTTTCGAGATCTACCTATTGTGAACAATAGAAAACAGGGAGATAGATCTTTTGTAAAATGAAAAGGGGCCAAGAGGTGGAGGGAGGGAGGAGACAAGGAAGAGGATCGAAAAAGAACTAAGGAGTGTTATATACATGCACCAACTGCCCAAGATGAACACAATCATTATGCACTGCAAACACAAACCATAAAAATAAAAATCGTGAAAAGATTAAATTGAAAAAACCTTAATCCAGTTAGTAACTGTTTAGGAACCTCAACCTGATTCTTGAATTTAAAGCACACGCTGTGGCATGTATACTAAACTGCTGTCTCAGTGACACAGTTTCAAAGCATTTGTACTACACTGTAAAGTTTCACTGTTACTCCCGCAGAACAGCTTTCTCACCAGTTGAAAACAATATGTTTAAGAAAAAGTGAAATAACTTCTTTACTTCTCGGAATACCCAAAATCCTGAGAATGTTACCTGAGAATTCACAACAACCTAGCAACAGAGATGTGTTGGAACGTCAATTGTTTTTCAATCTCTCAAATATAGAGTTGTCACGAATAGGATGATACATATGAATATTGTGGGAAAATATCCAGGTGAGTGCACAACCTGGCCTTTCCCGAAATATCACCAGGCAGCACGGTGCTTACACAGGAAGTTCTGTGAATGAATGGCGAATGAACGATGAATGAGTGGGTGAGGAGTGGGTGAGTGGGTGATGTGTGAATGACGGGCAGATCATGCTGAATGAATTCCTGCCCTCATTCCCAGGGTGCATCCTGGCTCCTTCTCACGGACCTGACTTTGAGGTGCTGGGTCTGGATGCCGGATGGCTCCGCAGATCCTTCTTGCAATGCATGTTCAGGACCAGCCTCCTCAGTCACCGGAGAGCCACACGATGCTCCCATGGGGCAGCAGGTGTGACATCCGGAAAGCCTCTGACAGTGCCGCATTCAGGGCCTCTTCCTCATGTTCACATGCACTGACAATAGCTGCGGATTCCTCAGAGGGCGCTTGGGCAGCCTTGAGCGCCTTCCGCAGGACAGACCCGAGTGAGCTGAGAAGCCGGTGGGTGTCTGGGGTGGATGGGGACAGATTCCGAACAGAGGACCCCGCTCTCTAGAGGACTCTGCACCAGTGCCACTCAGGCATCCCTCACTCGACGGTTGCATCTCCAAGACGAGCAGTGTGGTTCAGCTACACTGGCGCTCAGGGACCTGCATGTCCCCCGTGCCTCACCAGAGAGCACAGTCGCTCCACGGCCTCGCTCTATGGCAGGTGACTGTGAGCTGAGAGGCTCCACAGCATCCCCTGCTTTGGGGAACTGTGCTCTTTTCTCCCATGACACTGTTCCCCTGGGTGAGCCCTGCAACAAAGCCAGGGCCGCCCCCATCCCTCTTTGACAGACGGCCCTGCTCTCTCTCCAAACCCTCCTGCTGTTTGGAGAGCTTTCAGATGAAAAGTCACCGTGTGGTCTTTTGTCATATCACTGTCCATAAATACGATTTTGAGAGTGAGGCAGAAGCCAGCTGGGCACGGTGGCACATGGTTGTAACCCCAGGACTCAGGAGGCTGAGGCAGGAGGAGTGCTGTGGGTTTGAGGCCAGCCTGAGCTACATAGAGAGACCCTGTCTTAAAAATAAAAAAATAAAATAGAAAAGTGATGCAGAACTGATTTCCATTATTTTACTACCAGTTGCATTTATACTTGGTCTTCTTTCTCAGCATGGGTGAGTAGGGTGCAGAGTTAGGAAGACGGCTGTGTGTGGAGACAGGAAAATGGGTGCTTGAAAGCTTGGTTATCATGAGCAAAGTACGAGAAATTTAGAGAACAGCCAGCAAGGGGAAGTGCAGCCTGCTGGCCATTCTTTCCCCACTTCCTCCCTCATTTGTGTCATGAGCTTTGCAGAGTTCAAGATGGGTTTTCTCCTTCATCAGGTCCATACCATCCATCATGACTGCTAACAGATTAGGTTCACTGTCGGTGTAAACGGGGAACTGACATGGCTAACTGTAAGAGATCCCAGCTCATAAGAAAGTGTAGGGGAGAAAAAGCAAAGGGGACCCTGGTGTGGTATTGGTAGGGGTATAAATGAACACAATCATCATGGAAAGTAGTGTGGAGGTGCTTAAATCAAATCTGTCCGCATCCAGCAATCCTGCAGCTGGGAACACAGCTAAAGGAGAGGAACTGAGCTGCCAGAGACGTCTGCTGTCCTCGTTTCTCACAGCAAGGGCACAATGGCCCAGAGTCAGAATCAACCAAGCTTCCGACAAGGGAAGACATAAATTAATAATGAGTTCAGAGAGCAACAGAGGAACAAATCCATTGCACAGTAAGATCGTGGAGCTAAATGCTTTGGACATTTGAGAAAATACCAACAGTGCTGTGAAACACACACATTCCTGGTGCACTGGCCCACAGGTTTTACTCTACCCACAAACGCAGTTCTCTGTTCAAAGTGGCATGCAAGAGGTCCTGAAGTCACCTCCCTGCTGGCTTCTTTGGTGAAGGCAGCCTCAGCATCTCAAGGTGGGATGCAGGAAGCATTCACCCTCAGCAAAGAGCAGATCCTGGCATGGAGGGATGATAACTTAGTGCACAAAGTTTCTCACACTGAGAAATAGAGCAAATGTCATTACCCTGGGAGAAGAAGTGAATAAGGGAGCCACTGTAACCCCACCAAAGGACTCAGAACACAAGAAACATGGCCTTTAAGAGGGTAGCAGTTTGAACCGCACTGGTGCGGTGGTGCACACCTCTGTTCATAGCCCTCTGGAAAGCTGAGGCAGGAGTATCACAAGTTCAAGGCCAGCTTAGGCAACTTCATGACTTAGTGAGACCCTATCTCAAAACAAAAATTTTTAAAAGGGTTGGGGATAGAGCTCAGCAAGAAGGCTCTAGGTTCAATCTTTAGTACCACAAAAAAGCAGGAGTTTATAAACAAGTATATTTCTACTTACAAACTGAATATTTGTAAGTAATTTGGTCTTGATAGAAAAGAAGCAGTGTGTGTTTGAAGAGGTAGGAAACACTGGGTGACAGCGGGACCACAAAATAATAAAGCATAGAAATGACTTACATTGTGTTTCTCAGTGAGGACTGGACAGTTTTGACTCTCGCATTGTGGATTATATTCACAAAGCCTCCTATGCACTGGGTGATGGGTGTGAGGTACTGGGTTCATCCACTGATTGATTTACAGCTGGGTGTGTTGCTGGGGTGAGGAGCCTGGTGGGCAGAGGTGGCCAGTGTGGGCCTGGCCCGGAAGGGTATATGTCCCTCCTCCCCCCTTGATCTCTCTGCTTCCTGCCTGCCCTGCCATGAGCTGTTCCTCCTCTGTGATGCCCCTCTGCCAGGCTGCCCTGCCTTGGAGCCAGCCAACTATGGACTGAAATTTCTACAAACTGTGAGCCACAGTAAATCTCTTTTCCGTGCAGCTGAGGGTTCTGGGTATTGAGTCCCAGGGATGAGAAATTAACCAAGACAGGCATCTTGGGACAATATCGTCACCTTGCAGCCTCTCAAGAGTGAGACTGGGTCTGCATACAAGGCACATGTGTAGGCATGTACATAGAAAACAAAATAAACACCTAGTTTCTGATGCAACCAGACAAGCAGTGAGCTTAGGGGCTCTTCCTTCATTCCTCCTCTACTGTCAGAGTACCCACGCACTGCGAACTTCAACATTCGGTCCATCTAGACTGCTTCCTACCACCCTAAGCGGCAAGTGCTCTCATGCACAAGTCTTCCTCAACATGATTCTTTGCAATACGGATGATGCAAGTGTAATCTGTACTAAGACCAAAAGCTCAGAAACAAGCAGCCACACTGACGTTCATGTTCATTCCCCTCCAAACCAGCTCAAGGACCCCTATGCTTTGTATGATGGTGGGAGTCCCAAACTGGATATCTAATCACAGCAGAGTGCCTGGAACAAACCTCAAATGAAATCACAGCACTTCATTTTACATGGCCTCACACAGGGAATCCTTTTGCATTTGGCAAAAGCAGAGAGAAAGCTGGCCAAACTCTCCCAGAAATGAGAACGAGCCCCCTCCCTGGGAGAGAGAAAATGTGCCTTGTCATCAGCTGAATCCCACGGTGGCCGTCGTCTTATATGTCACGTCCCTGACCTTTAACACAACCTCACAAGGGGATATTAGTACCTCATGTTCCTGGCAAGGAGGCTGAGATTGGAAAAGCCAAATAGCAGTGCAGAAATTCCATTCCAGTGTTGCCCAAAAAATCTATGCATTTTCATGTCACTAGGTACAGTATTTGCATAAGACTGTGGTTTAATCTAAAACATCCTCCAAAAGTCTGGCATTCAGAGAAGGAGCCTGGTTGGAGTCAGTAGGTCCCTGGGGTGTGACCTGGAAGGGTGTATTCTTCTCCAGCTCCTCCCTTCTCTCTCTGCTTCCTAGCTGCAGTGGGATAGCTGTTTCCTCCACCACACCTTTCTGCCCATGAAGTTCCTGCCCTAGAGCCAGCTGACTATGGACTGGATCCTTCGAAACCATGAACCAAAATAAGACCCTCTTCTTTAACTTGTAGATGCCTGGTATTGTATCCTAATGCACATTTTCTTGACTCTGAGGTGCTGTTAGTTACCATACTGCTTTTTAAAGACTTTCTCTCAAGGAAAAGAAATTCCAAAACAGAAGGCAGCATATGCATTGAAAGGAGGACCATTTCAGATTCAGATAATCATCATACCAATCTCCACTGTTATGACCTTTGGCAAGCCACCTAAAGTTTTCTGATCTGTCCAATAACAAGGAGAGGGAAACCTCTTCCAGCTCCAGTGTTGTGGCTTTTCCCACAAGAGCCTAAGTTCATATTGGTGAATGTAAAGCAATACTAACTCTCCTTGAAATGATACTAATACACTTTTTTTCTGTGCAAACAAGAGGCCAGAAATGATCTCTGAGCTTGAGTTTCTGTAGCTTGTTTAAAATGTAATGCAACCCAAATATTTCCTGATTCTTGTCTACTTTCATACTCTAGCATTAACATACTGTACCTTAAACCCAGGGTCAATCCAGTCTCTCTACAGAGGCCAAGCTGATGCCACCTGGGGACAAAGTGCTCTTTTCATTAGACTCTCTTGGCCTCCAAAACAAGATAGCTGAGTTCTTCCTCATATCAAAGAAGCCTCCTATCACTAAAGTAATTTAGCATGTAATTAACCATAAAAGCAGTAACCCATTGAGAAGCTGAGACCCTCCAGTCTCATGATTTAGACTACATGGCTTCAAACCTCCAGCTTCAAGTCCTTTTGAAGAAAATCTTTCAAGGCCTTCCCTGTACTTTCTGTGAATCCCGCAACACAGTGTCCCAGATCACACTGCTTCTAGCCCTTGCTTCTAAAGGATCATTTTTGCTTTCTCACTTCACGTGGACCTGAGAATGGCCTCATCTCATCAACCAGTCTAAAAACACATCTGGGTTTACAACA